ATGTGAAGCGAGGTGTTTAGGCCACGCGCACTTAATTCCCTACCGTGACGAACTGTATGGCGTTTTCCTTTTTGTAGAGGTGTCATTGATTCATAGCAAAGCATATTGACGATACATCGATATAGAGGATATTCAAGTTTTTTCTATCAATACATGATTTATTTTCATCGAGTGGTATGAAAATAAATATTTCATGAGTGGCGGTATGGTAATTTTCATGCCACAAAATGAAAATAAATCATTTATTTATAGAAAGAACTTGAATTTTCTGTTTATTATATACATTTTTCTCCTTAATTTGAAAGACTTTCCCTGAAATTTTGTGTACTGGCAGAATTTCAAAGAAAGTAGTCCGGCAACACACCAGTAAAATTTCGGAAAATATGTTTCACTGCTGCAGTGAAAAATAAATTTTATAGTGAAAATACGGAAAATGAAAATAAGCATTTTATTTCACCAATATTTCTCAACATTTCATTTATAAGTATAAAATAAACATCGATATCAGATGACAAATATCACCGATACACTGATATATCGATATATTCTCTAATTTCTTGAATATATTTGACTCTCATACTTGTTTAAATGATTTTAGCAAAATATATGTTCTGTTCATACAAATATGATGTGACCTGCTTATAAATGTCCTTTGCATGATTACCTAACCATTTTTAGCCATCACTGATATGAAATGTGTCCATTATGTAACAAAAGCTTAGTGTCAGACATGGTCACCTGCTTTTAAATGTTCTTGGGTGATTTTCCATAATTTGTAGACATTAAAATAATTAATCAACATTATCGATTTTTTTAAAAATTGTGTATTGATTATTGTTCGACAAAACAATTATCAACGATGCATATATATCGTCTCTATCGATGACAGCTCTACCTTTTTTGCGTTCATTAGGTGAAGTCGGCTAAAATGTGTACTCAATGACATATGATTTGACTTTTAAAGGTTGTCTCTGTGGTGATATGAAATACTTGATCTTATTATGCAGTTTAACTAAGTGTATTAACCAGCATATATTGTGTTCTTTATCTTCATTTAGAACAATAAAATATTCACCAAAGTTTTAAGAATTATGGAATATTTTTGCCACAAAAAAAACCCAGCTAGAATAGTACGCAATCACATAATAACATCAGTAAAGCAGATAACGTATCGAAAATAATAGAACAGAACAGAACATAAGTTTATTGATAAATCGTATGCGAACAGCATATTGATTAAACAATAATATTTTACATGCATGTATAAACATATGTAATGAGAACATATACAAGAAATGAATCAATGTAGAGAAGATAAATACAAAGCCTACATATACATGTATACATGTTCGGCTTTGCTATTTCTAACTATTCATATACAATTATGATAACGGAAATGTCAAACATGGTAATTGTTATTTCATATGACACAGTATTTGAGTTTAGTATTTTAATTAACTATTTGTATTTAAGAGAATCTTTCTTTCTTCAAACGCTTTGATTAAATATTTTGCCAGTCTGTATAAACTATGCATATCACTGGTTGATAATAAATCAATAAATTTAATCATATTTGGCCTTGTTCTGTACCAATGTGGTATTTTCTGTCTTCTAATGTTATGGTACACTGGGCATTCTAATATGAAGTGGAATTCATCTTCTATTGTTCGTTGAAGACATAATTTTCACAGACGCTCGTTCCTAGGAATGTTCCTATGCCTACCTTGTTCAATTTCCAAACAATGAGAGGACAACCGTATTTTTGTTATTACATTTCTATATTTCTTATTTTCCATCAATGATACTCTGCTATTCCAAAGTTTTGTTTAATGCTGAATTTTATCTCAACTGGCATTTCTATGTCTTTTGTTATCGATAGTAAATCTTTCAGCCTTTGATGCAAGGGCATCAATGCCCCGTTTCGCCGAACCGTTACTGCTAAGTACGTAGCCAAGATAGTTGAAAGATTCGACGATATCTATTCCGTTGCCATTATATGTCCATGTTTCGTTATCTCTCACACGCCCGTTACCTTTTTTGAATACTATATTTTTTGTTTTCGTTACATTGACGGTTAATCTCCATTTTAAACAATAGTTATATAACAGATCGAGATGTGATTGCATTCCTTCCGGGGTTTCGCTCAATAGTATGCGCATAGAGTAGAAGATAAATGTTTAATTGGTCAATAGTTAATCCAGATTGCGTATTTTCTTGTATGGTCATTTCAATATCATTTAGGAAGAGAGAGAGAATAATATGCTTGACGTTATTTCTCCTTGAAATACGCCTATATCACAACTGAAAAAGTCGGATACTTTATCTATTTGCTTCACACAAGATTTTACATTTGCGTACTTTGATTGTAAAACTTTTAAAAGTTTGCCGTCGATTCCATGTTTTATTAGCTTATACCATAATGCACTTCTAGAAAAAGAGTCAAATGCCTTTTGATAGTCGATGAAATGTGAATAGTGTGACATACAATGTTTGTTACATTTTATGAACTAATCCAAAGGACTGTCTTACGGTGGCATAAAAGTGACATTTGCAAAAATTGTTTGCATATTTTTTGTTTAGTTTTTGATACTTATCTTTGTTTTGTTTTTCGTACATATTTTTTGTTTTAGTTTTGCATACATGTTTTATTTTAGTTTTGATAACATATTTTTTTTAGTATTGCATACACATTTTTTTAGTTTTGCATACATATTTTATTTTTGTTTTTGGTACATATTTTATTTTTGTTTTTCGTACATATTTTTAGACAATCAAAACAGCCTTCTCATCTCATAACAGCACATAGTTGTGAATAAAACACGGTTTCAATACTAGCAAAGTGGTTTGGTCACATTTCGGCCCATTTTTGGAATCTGCCCAAGTCGTTTTCGGCCGGGCAAATCTGGTTTCGGCCGAAAAGCCGACCCTTTTGGGCCCACTTTTTAAATTATAATTATGTATTTTACTTAATTATTGCTTTTTGTATTATAATAAATTATTATATTAGTGTATATTTAAAAGGGGTGTTGATTGGTAATAAGTTATTATTCCATAAATATGCACCACTCAACCCCACACCCTGAGAAAAGCTGGGGGGGGGGCGGGGGCATTGACTTTAAACCAAGCCGACCTCCAACAAATATGTACGAAAAACTAAAATAAAATATGTATGCAAAACGAAACAAAAATAAGTATAAAAAAAAATGCTAATGTCACTTTTATGCCACCGTAATGTCCGGTTGCATCAAATAAAAACTATTTTTAAACAAAATCTCGTTACAAAGGAAGTTGAAATATTGCCGGCAAATACCTTAGGTTGACTTCTTGTCGTTAGCTACATCCAGCTGTTAATCATATAATATGAAATTCTTAAAAATAAACTTTTATTTTTCATCGTGAGAAAAAATATCTTTCGATTTAATTACCAATTGCAAAGTATCATACTTACAGGTGTTTTACAAAAGAAGAACAAACAAGCATAAAACAGTTTTGACCAATCATAAAAGCCCCACCGACGTTGCGAGCCTTGTAAACACGTGGAATTTTTTATGCAAGCATATGGTGTGATACATTATATACAGAAGTCGTTAAGAACTATTTCTTTAAGTGATGAAAAAGATACTTGATTGAAAACAATCATCGGCAAAATATATTGCACACTCATTGAAGAACAGAACTGACGGCGAAAGACAATATGGCCATTCTAAAAAATAGCACATGTATACAACACGGTTCATGTACGAAACTTTATCATTATTCAACCTATTTCGAAAAGAAACAAATACAAAAAATAACAGCAAAACAACTGTTACACCTTATGAACAATACTTATGGTGGGCCAGAGGTGACATGTGTCTGTGTTTTCATTTATCTCACGCGCACAAGTTACTTAGTCGTACGCACGAGATAAATAAGTGGTGTGCACAAGATACTATGTTGTTGCGCATGAGTTACTAAATCGTGCGCACGACATATTTAAGTCGTGCTGAAATATTATGTCGTGTGCACGAGTTATTTAGATACTTCCAAGTGCATATTCTTTCTCAGGTTATCATATGAACAAGAAAAACAGGCCGTTAGAAGGTACGTACTGATCAACCCTATCACAGTAGTGTACCTACTTTTCACAGGGGGTGAAAAGGGGCTATAACTCAGTCAGAAAATGTATTATTTATAAGTAATTGCAAAAAATAATGTTGCATGTAAAGTTTAACAAGGAATTAAATTAAAGATTTAAAAATTCATATATATGCGCACGATTTAATTATCTCTTTCGGACCACATAGTCATTTGTGCGCAAGAATTTATTATCTTGTGCCCACGTCCGAAACACATAGTAACTCGTGCGCTTTCGTTTTTGGTGAAGCGCAAACTATAGGTATTGCCCTGGTTCCAATCTCATTATTAACCTTATTCTGTAGTTGCACGAACCAAGTTATAGAAATAAACTTTTTGTAAAAATACTATTATGGGTACAGCAGATTTTGTAAAAAATATGTTGTTTCTTTTGCTTTATGTTTGCACCTCCTACAAAATGTTATGAAACTTTACAGATTAAAAGATCATGACCCTTGGTAATGATTTTCAGGGAGTTTGTGACTTAATTGCAATTATTTAATAAGTTGCTGGATTGGCATGGTTTTAGGTTGGATGAGTGTCTGTCAAATACATTTTTTCTTTCTTTTTTCTAAAAGGCTTACGTTTTTCAACTACACATGGTGAAAGAATTCTATCAGTATGTCGGCTTAAGAATATTTACATTTGAATATGCATATTGTTTATTGAAAAATGACCATAAAAGTATAATTAGCAGGGTTGTAACTGATTATTGATTGATTTTAGATGTACACCCGTAATAAGCATTTGTGTGGTGATTAGATTCTTTCAAGTTATCGAAATAATTGATATTGGTAAAGGAAACCCAGCTTTTTAAACAAATTAATTGCATATCTGTACAAAATCAGTCATAATGAAGTGATAGAAGCATTATTTCGTTTCAGATAAAGGACAAAACCATTCTTCCACCTCAAACACTAGCAACTCACCAACAAAATCAGACATAAACAATCAGACAACAGGTACCGGAACAAAACTTACAACTGTTCCTTTTAACATTTCACCAGTGTCAGTCCTACCAAAAACTACACCTGTTACCCCTGTGTCGAAAATAGACAAGAAATTATCTTATTTTGTACTGTTTATTCTTTTAGCTTTTGTTGTTTTAATATTTTCTATGGTAACGTTGTTTTACCTTTTTCTTCTTATAAAAACAGGGGAGAAGAAAGAGTAACTATAGTCTGTCCCATTAAAAATGGAAATGAACTTTTGCCTCGTGTGAATTAACAAAACGAGGTTGAATAAAAATTAAACTATTTTTGTAAACTAAAAAAAAGTCACCCTCGAGATTTTTCAGGATTTTTCTCTAAAGTGTCTACTTTTCTTGTGAAAGCAAATTTTGATTTCTCTATGGCAAATCTCTGTTGTATATTTTCCGTAGCCATTGCCGAAGTACTCTTCATTTGAAGATGAACGGGAGAAAGCACGTGTTATGTTTCTTAAATGTACATGAGGTTCTCGGGGTCGTTTCATGATTATTTTACAAAGCTGGATCTACAAGATGTAACAGTTTAGTTGCAATGCATGATGGAAAACTTAAAAAAAAAAAAAAAATAAGCAACAACAACACCGAGTCAGACGGAGTAGGAAAAGAAATTGCACTTACTTTTAAGCTGAATAGAATCCCTATGAATTTCGAAATAGATCTTTATATGAACGTCACCACAAATTTGCATTCTGAAGATTCCTTCATTGCAAGTTTCTATCCAGTTCCGTAGCTTCAGAACTCCTGAATGACATGACTCCTACACTTATGGTGATCCAGATTTTTTAAACTGTTAATCCGTCTCTTTATTAAAACATTGTTAAATTTGTGGAGTTATCTGGGTTAGCAAATGAAACACATCATAATTCAGCATGTTCCAAATCCATAATTCAAGAACGGCCCATAATTTTAGTTGTTAACATCACAATGTTTATAACTCTTGAAAATGGATTCCTGACGAAAAAAACTTTATTACGTCAACAACAATTTACGAAATATATGACGTAACAAAAATGCCTCGCGCTTCCAGTTGCGGCATTGACAGAGGGCGGTTAGGCCAATGTAACCTCAAACAAATAATTTCAAGCGTTGAGATAAATATGCCTTGGTTGCATTTTAAATAATTTTTGTAGACCCAAATTTTGAAACTTAACTGTAAAAATTACACCTTCAATTCATATATTAATAATAAAACTTTCGATAACATTTAAATAATTTTAAACACACTTAATGACATGAATCTATATAACAGTACAATACTTCTTCCATTAATTACATATAACATTCGTTATGATTTTATGTTTTTAAACTATTTTATATATTTCTCAGAAATGATTTCCCTACATATTATCCCTTATTATTAAAGACTTCTGTAAATCCTACTCTTTAAGTTACAAAATATACAATACGCGTGCGTTTTTTTTTCTGCCGCGAAAAATATGCTAGATCTATTGTTTTTTCACTGAATCTTTTCAAATTTTAGGAAGGCTAAAATTATTGAGGTTCTCTTTGACTCTACCTCCCCTTCATATTATCATAATAATTATATGTTAGTCTTAGTCTGCAATAAAAACCGCACTTATTGTCGCTTATTGAACACTCCAATTCAAACTTATTCTTAATAATATCAAATCACTACCGGTATTTCTGGACATTTTGTTGAATTGTGAGACGGAAAGTTAAATCTGTATTTACGAGCTTAAAGTGTATAGGCCTACGTTTGATTGCTCAAACTAGAAAGCGTGATATTATATTCTTATAATTTACATTTTCCTCGGACTCGAGTCTATGTTCTCTCGTTAGCGAGGGGGTAAGTTAAAGTAGACACTGTGGTTACAAGCAAACCAATGCTGAACGTATAGTGAATCAGTTCTCTTTTCTATATATTTCTTGTCAGATTTGCATGATAATGTATTATTTGTTGGCGATTTCTTGTGAAGGAAAGGTTTAGCACACGAACATCGCACCCGAAATAAGAAGGGTAACATATTTTTGTATCTCATCGAACCTGGTCAATTCTAATTATTTTTGAATAGACGTGACACATACTAATGGGCATAATTCAGACAACTACAGAATTATGTAAATTAAACATTAATTAGCGAATAACCATTTTAAAATTATAGTCTTCTAGCTAGTGTTCCCGCGGGTGGGAGTGGTTTCGTCTAACTACCGGTTCGTCTAACTGATCTTATATAGTAAAACAGGTAGTGGTTTCGGCTAACTTAATTTATATAGTGAACAATAGCTATTGTATAATGTATAATGGGCACATTAATTATCGCGGGTTTTAATGTGTGGTTTATCACACATTTTCATGCAATTAAAGACAAGAAAAATTGAAAATTTAAACATATTTTTTATTCTTTTCTTTAGTATAATAATGATATTTACATAAATAATAACACAAGATCTCAGTGAATAAACAACATCATAGAAATATATATACGTTTAATAAAATCGACATATATACTAAAAAAACAAAGCTCGAAAGAGAAAGAATTAATAACAATGAATAAATACATAAAAAATCCACGTACGTAATTATTATAAATAACACATATTTTTTAAATACTTTATTTTTCTCTATATAAACAAATATGAGGTATTCAATTGTTACATTATGGTTTTTTCTACGAAGTCAATCAGAATACATAAAATTGACATTTATATATTAATTCATTTTGACGCGTTGAGGTATTCAAGATACGCGCTTGATTGAAAAGCTATCTAATCAAATCACTTCATTGTTCTTTTTCTCTTAAAAAGAATATAAAAATGCGACAGTATGTCATGGTAATTATAGAAATATTTGTGTGTTAGAATTAATAAAGCGGTTACTGATATTTTCACTTCAAATGATTTTGATTATTTTAAATAATGGTTTGCTAGTAAAATTGTCTTTTTGACACCAACTTTGTTTTCATTTTTCATTTTAATGAGAACATTTAGCTATTGATCAGTAAGTAAATAAGAATAATCATTTTTTTATAATTACCGAGTACATTTCACGCTAATTGTGAGACGAACCCTAAATGACGTCTATATGGGCGCCGCCATTTTGAAATGGACGTCACGTCAGGTTACAACGTAAGTCAACGGGGAAAAATATAATTTTAACATTTCGACCATATTAATGACTTTATGAAAAAAATGAAAAACATGCCTAGAGATATTGACATCAGGGTTAACATGACATTAATTTAAATGATTTTACTATTATATTAAACAAAAAATGTAGTATTCAAATTTGATGGGATAGTCGATATCAACATATAAAATGAAAAGCATTACGTAAACTGATGAATTCAAGTTTACCTATCAAGTATTGTAAACCTTGCATTCGTTTTATTCACCATATTCGAGTGATTGTTCCTGAAAAAGTTTTGGGACTTATATATAACATATAAACGGATTCCTAGTATTCAATTAATGTCATTTTAATAATCGCGTTTGCTGTTGTTGTTATTTTACAAGAAACTGCGCTTTTTGTCGTGCGCTTATCTAGATTAACAATACTCAGAGGAATTTGATGATGCAATATTTAATGTGACGTTATGTCTTTCTATCAGTCAGTATCAATTACTTTTGTATTATATATAAATCTGAATTTGTGAAATGGTGATTTTAGTATTTTCAGGATAAATAATAATCTGAACCGATAAGATAAATTAAATGAAATAAACATACAACAGTTATATTTCTACTGTACATGCGTACTTCAAAGTGCAAAATGTGAAATTGTATTTTTGTTAATATTAGGCATTGTTTGTACATGAATCAAACGTTTTTATAGTGTAAATATAAATTGAATTTTATACTGTATTTATATATATTTTTTAAACAGAAATGGTGTACACAAATATTTTGAAGACATAAACGCAATATTCACTTGAACAAGATAATTGTTATTAAACAACGTTCATATGAAACAAAATATGTTTTAATGATCTGTTTTTTTTTTTTTTTTTTTTTTTTAAAGCTAGTAAAAGTAACACTGGGAAAGTTTCTTATAAATCTGGAGAAAGTGTGGATCCCTCGGAAGCATTAATCGCAACAAAATTACATGAAAATTGCAGACTCGGTTTGATTGAGTCTGTACATGAGGGATATTGAAAAAGTGCAAAATCCCTACGCCCCCATAACCGGCAGCCTCTAAAACTCTTTGCAAAAACTACGTCGACAATTAATATTTGCAATTACCATGCAATAAATTAAATACTGTTTCAACTAAAGATATATTAACGGTATGCTTGATTTCTTATCCGATTGATTTCACTTAGAATTATATACAACCTTGATCAATTCCACCGATCAATTTAACCAAGATTTTTCAATTGCATACATCTACAATAAATTCCACACAAACTTATTAACGTCTTTTATTAATATGATCCTGAATTTCATACATTTTATTGAATACGCCTAGAAATTTATACAACTCAGATTATTTCCACCAATAATAACGTTCATTTCATGCAGAATTATATACGAATCTGATTCTCTGAATTATTTCAACTTTGAGAATCATATAAAACTTATTTGTTCCGCTATATACACCTTCGATAAAATCAACCTAGAATTAAATGCATTTTTATCACTTCCGCACTCATTATTTAGACTTTTTTATTTAGTCTGCCAAGAATTATATATAACTCTGATTAATCCCACACAGAATTATATACACCTTGTAGAATTCTATCCGATCCTTAATAATTCCGCCCAAAATTATATATTACTCCAATAAATTCCATCCAGAATATCTGCAACGCATATTCATGATATTATATTATAAACTTACACATTTTATTCCACAACCGGTTTAGGCTTACCCTCTGTCCGTCCATCTGTCCGTCCGTCCGCAAAACTGGATCCCGTGATAACACAAAAAGCACTAAATATATTTCTATGAAACTTGAATAATGGGAAGATGACAGTAAAAAAAAATTTAAGAATAGCTCTTAAATGAGGTGTTACAGATAGTTTTTGCCATTATGAAATAATATGTAAAGAAAAGCTCTTAAAATGTACAGGAAAGAGGATAATTCTTTAACTTTCAGTTTAAATTTAAGTTCTGTTTAATAATTCTTTTTTACCAAAAACAATTTACACTGCGTTTAGATGTCGTTACATTTTCTAGTGAACAAGGTTTTTTGCATAAGGAGTAACTGAGTTTATTTCACACTTGTACTTACTGAGTTATCAATTTTGTCTATTATAACGTGACCACAAATAACGTTTATGATCCTGTAAGTTTACTCATGCACACTAAAAGTATCGAAATACATACACACACACACACACACACACACGCACACACGCACACACACACACACAAAATTTGATGTATCGGGTACCCGTTGTTAATAATGTTCCATAAGTTTCAAATATATTATATAATGACTGATGTGTTCAACTGATATAGTAATGTTTATAATTTTCGTATATTTGTTTTGCATATCAATCAATTATTTATAACTACATGTATAATTGATTACCGACTGCGTAGATGTTGGTGTTATCAATTGTTTAACTTACCGAAAAGAAGAACACATACATCTTACATTGTTCCATTTTTCAAGATAAATAACACCATTGACTATTTTGTCATCTGTAACAAAAGTATTTTGCCATAAAAAATGTCACTTACGATTTTGTGTACGGATTTATGTACAGTGTGTTTTAGTATTTCCCTCTGTGTTGCAAGTCTGTGGAAAAAATCGTTCTTATTCAATATTAAAGTTATTCTATTAAATTTAAAATGACGTTCAGTATATACAGTAAAAATAATTTACATTGAATGTAAAAATGAACTGAAACGAAATTATTGAGTGCAAATATATCTCACACAATGCATGTATTTTGTGGGGGTTAGTTCTAGTTATCACCATTGTTTTTTTGTGAAACAAAAATCGGTCAACACAAATTTTACAATGTTTTATATTTTTCTTTTATAACATATATGTTTGCATTTAATTAACGAACAATACGTGTGTTGATTTTTTACTGTCCGTTATCCTTTTATATCTATTTGCAATACTTCATGTGTGATTCCTTTCATAATACTATCAATATTGCATATGATAACAAAATTCATATAAAGTCAAACGTAAAACACAAGTAAAAGGAACACCTTAAGCATAACTGCAAAACAGAAGTACTTATATATACTTATATATTACTTATATAAGACAGAAAAATCAATATGCCACACTTTCATTATAATGTTTACAAAATGTTTTTGTTTTTTCTTATCTACAAAAAAATTATTATCTCATTTTTTACAAGCATTGCTGACAGATCTATTTGTAGCGAAATTCTAGGAATAACATATGCAAGTTAATAAGATTTACTTTGGCCGAGTAAGTTTTTAAAGATACTTCTTTCTTCTTAATGTATTTAAAATTATGTTTCTTATCACCACTTACATCATATGTGGGGCAAGATTAATAATATTTGTCAAAGGTTGAGGTTCGGAACTGAATATCCGTCCCGAGGGGAACTGCCAATAGGTTGGTAACGAGGCATATTCTTTAAAATATCAAATTATTGAAATTTTCATTTTCTGTTATTGTTAATGGCTATAATGTTTTTATTTATAAATAGATTGACTTAATATTAAGACACAACATTTTTTAGGATAGGACCTTCATATATATATATATTCAATTCAAATTAGCATCGGCTCGTTTATGACCTTGACCTTGAAGGCTACATTATTGAATGTTCACTGATTTATGCTATAATTGACTTAACTCGGTAAATAAATGAATGCCCTATCTTCATATTTTGACAAAACAAAACAATCTTTTGGACAGGACTTTCTTAAAATTTGAACTGATTTTGGCTTTGAAATTATATCGAACTTGACCGTCAAGGTCAAATCGTTGAATCTAGGTTATATTCTTATAATTGTCTTAATTATGTACAAATTTGATTTATACTTGTACAAAACTTGTACGGACTCAATCAAACCGGGTCTGCAATTATGATGTAATTATGTTGCGATAAATGCTTCCGAGGGATCACTTGTGTTTCCAGATTTTTTTTACCAAACAAACATACTGAATATTTTAGATGTGACTTTGACCTTGATCGTCAAGGTCAAATTAATGAAATTCTTTTATCTTTTCCTA